AAAAGCCAATGAGTCACATGTTTGTAAACAAGTCACTCGCTCTGCATCAGCCTTGAATGCAGTGTATTTGTTGCTCGACAAGCTAATTCCTGTGTATGCAGTCACTTTTATTTGGCTAGCTGAATGTGGAGTGCTGCTCTCTTATCACTCCATCAGAGGGGAAGATGGATGACACATAGCGAGAGAGCGACATGCACAACATGCCCCAAAAGCACCGGCTAGTGCAGTAAACAAGCACAGACCCCTGTGACCCAGAACAACGTGATTTCACCATTATGCCAAAGACGGAAATGACTTATGACGTGTTTAAAGGATTGCCTGAATCAAACCAACGCCAAAAGGGAAACATTTGTAAATGAGAAAACGTAGATAAATAATAATAGTGATCTGCGTGAGCTATGTAAACTAGGGGAATGTAAAGGGGGTGAGATGTGACGAGTATTTTCAGTTTTCTGAGCGGAGACACAGAAGCTAATCCTCTCAGTGAAAGAGAAAGGAAGCTAACCCTGATGCAGCCCAAACCCCTTTCCAGTTTGTCATTCCTCCCTTCAAAGCATACATGATGAAATCCCCCAAGGTATTATAAGAGCTCTGGCATAGCAGCCATCCGCTACCCTGTCCTAGCTTAATGCCTCATAAACGGAGTCTGGAATCATGTCTCTTTACTATTTCAAGAGTCTTTGTAGCCTTGGATCTTAAAGAACCTTTTAGAGTTGCAGAGGAAGAAGTATTTTACTTCTGGGGAGTATATGAGGCGTTTGTGAATCATTATGCTTCCGAGGGATTCCTGTCCACTCACCATAAAATAGTGCACATACAGTATGCCCCTGCTGGAGGATGTTTAGAGGAACCAGGCATTGATCTTCTTGCTGAATGAGTGCTTTTTACAGGAATACAGTACACAAGAAAATATGTGTCCTAGATAGGGACAGGCACGTCATTTAAGACATTCAGATCCATTTAGTGACGCCATTGGATGCCACTTGTTATGCAGCTTGTTGAGCTGTCTGATTGTCTTGTATTTTATAAATGTACCCATAATTGGTCTCCAGGTTTCAGGGAGATACGATATTTTTGAAGTTCTAGAAACTATGGAGCCAGAATAAATACAATCCAAACCAACAAAATGTGTTTTTGTTTGCAAAAAAAGGTTAATATTGCCAAATTGTGTTGCTACTGCTTGGGCAGTGAATTGTAAGCCAAAATGAAAAATCAAGTGTTCAATTTAGGCTGCAACTAATTATAATTGTTGTCATAAATACTGAGGTCTATAAAATGTCGGAAAATATGAAAAATCAACACCACAGATAACCTTTGACATTTCCAAATTGCTTGTTTTGTACAAACTGTAACCCAGAACCAATTATTAAATATTAACATTTTGTAAACATGAAAACTAGCTCAAGTTTAGCATTTCTTCTCGAAAAATGACTCAAAATGGCCTACGACAAATTTTCTGTCAATTATTCTACTTATTAAATCTGTCCTTATGTTTCAGCACTGGTTGTTTTGGCACAGTGCTGTATGCCTGTGCTGCATGTCTAAATGTGGTTTGAAATGGCCTTATAGGATTTTAATCAAAGATTCACATTTACTCAGAGCTTATATTTGATCTGCTTATCTGTATTAATTGAAAGCATCACTCCAGATAAAATCAGCATAACACAAGGGCATTCTACTTTAAAATGGTATTAATTGTTCCATTTAAACGCAGATTTTAATGTAGAAATCTGGTTTAGCTGTTATGCTTTCTGCTATAGTATCTCCTATTAATCCTTTAACCCAACTACCTCACACCATCCCTTTGGGCCATCTGCCAAACCTGTTCTGTTTCATTTCTGAAAATGGCAGGGAGGGCAATGAATCGGCGCGTGCGTTGACTCTTTAAACAACAAGGACCATCAGAATGCGGTTTGTCTATTAACCAAGATACTGTGATTCTGTGTGAGGAAGAGAACGAGAAAATGAAAGAGATAAATTGAAAGGAGTCCGTCGGCCCCCGCTGTTCTCACTCAGCAGACTCACGATAAGGTTTATCTCCGCTGCCTAACGAGTTGGCCCAGTAGGACAGAGTGGACCAGAGCTGCACAGCCAGCGGTGGCTTGAGCTCCCTTAGGTGACCTGTGCGCGTTGTTCATGCTACGCTGCTTTGGAACTTTATTTTCTGAAGGAAATGGCTTCGGCCCCTTCGGCCACATCTCTTTTAATCTGGGATTTCTTTTTTTCGCCTCCTTTTCTTCATCCTTTCTACTCACTGTAACTCAGACTGCCAAGAGAAGCTGCGAGAGCTGGAGAAAGAGATGCTGCGGAGCTTTGGCACAGAGAAGCGTGTGTGTCCCAGAGGCGATGGCTGAGGCAAAGATGGAGACACAGAGAGGGGGGGGGGGGCTGCTGCTGAGTTAAGCCCCTAATCACAGTCTTCTCTGCATGAAGGACTTAAAGTCACTCCATTTAATGCTACCTTCTCTTTAGTGAAACGGGGGAAAAAAAATACCACTACTTACCTCCACAGCTTTCCGATACCCAGGCCCCCCACTCCTATCATAAACCCACTCTTGTGATGCATAGAAATTCACAGCTATGGTACTTATAGGCAAACATATGCAGAGAAAAATGCCACTCAAGCAGAGAGGCAGTAAAACGTATATGAATTCAACATTTTACACAAAGCGACGTTAGTATGAATTTTTCGCAGGGCTGTACAATTGATCGGAATTGTATATTGTTTTTTAATCGCAATATGGACTAGTACAATGTTCGCTGGAAGCACGATATTTATTAAAATATTTGACAACATTTTTTATTTGAAATGAAGTATTGTGATGCTGGAGATATCCCTGCCTATACATTTTACAGACGTAACAAACCATCTTTGTCTGGTACAGATTGTCTTGAAAAATTACACCATTATAGTGTTATATATTATTTTTACGATAATGACAATGATGATTAAAAAATGACCCATCCCTAAACCCTTCCAATTTCTCAAATCGTTTTGTAATGTATATTTGTGTTTTTTTTATTCAAAATTGTGAAACCCTAATGTTTTCTCTCTAGACCTCACTTTTGGACCATCTATGCCTTTATTGAAGAGTTTAAAGGGAGAGACAGATGACAAAACAGTTTTAATGGTCCCAGACCTGATTGGAACCCAAGGCCCCTGCACATACAGTATATCAATGCATGTCTTATATCTTGTATTGAGTGGTGTTTGGTAAACATGTGTAAACAGGTCTGTGTGAGGCGTCCTCTCATTGAGAGACCTCACTTTCACGTACACCATGCAACAACTGCTGGATTTCCAAGAACTGCAAAAGCATAGTGACCCTAGAACAATATGACCCAGCTGATAGAGCCCCGGTATTTAGGCCTCCAGCTCTACCTAAACTAAACTAAATTAAACTAAACCGCGGCCCAACTCACTCTATTCTTAAAAACACGAGCGTGCATTACTGGTCTTATTAGCAACGACAAATGAAGCCACTTCATGGTAAACCACATTTGCGACCGACGTGGCTGCATGCCCTTCTCTGGCGTGCTCAGGTGCTGCTTCATTTGTTGTGCGAGAAGTGGAGAATCTGAGCAGACCCTCAGAGACCGCCGGGTCCCACTGGCTCCAAATACATTAATTGACTTGGCTCTGTATCCAGCCAGGTGTAACACACTTTGGCGGAATACTCCGGAACGTCGGCGAGATCTTTGGGGAAATCCCCCCCTTCCATGTTAAGGCTAGACTTTCCGCACCTCCAGCTGCTGTTTCACCTCACCTTCTTATCTCTTTCACATGGCTAGCAGACTTTGAGGTTGGCGAATAGGTCTTAATCTAATGTTGGAACATTGATTTATGCTTGGGTGTCCCACAGCCATTAAGATAATTGCATGATCACTTTATAACATCCTCCCCCGGTGGCCATGGTAATTTGGCTCCCCCCACCACCCATATTGCTCTGAAAGACTCGTAACCACATTATAGAGGTAGAAAATGTGGTCGGAAATATCATCTTTCAGCCCCTGCAAATTGATTTTATACCATTTCCACTGACTTCTAAAACCCTTTTAGTCTATCTCTCACCTGTGTTGACCATTTGATCTATTGGAGGCTTCTAGGTCTTAACAGCATGTATTGATCGAAAGTCTTCAGCCGGCATCTTAAGGGGATGCTCTCGTGTCACCTTGCACTTCCAGCAGTCCAGGTGTTTCTGAGGGCAATCATCGCCGAGACAATGTATTTTTAGCTGTTAGGGCAAGACAAGTGGGCTTTGATTGCCTTCAATGGGAAATGACTGTGTTAAATGGATCTATGATCTCTTTCGACAAAATCTTTCTTTGAAATAAAGATTCCAACAGCACTACGGACTAATGGCTGCTTAAGAGGAGAACTAGACGTTGGTGAAAGTCAAATCGCTTTGAGGGATTGAGCCAAGGGGAAGCACTCTGCTTCCTGAGTATCAGCACTCAGCCCAACAAGATGCAGTGATGTGAGACTTCAAACTGACAGCAACAGTAAGATGATCCAAAGAATGTCATCTATTCCATCAATCGTTTATTCTTAAATTCTTCAACAGCTATTATTAGTAATAGCATTAATATTTATTGCCCAGTCTGCTCCGATAAGTTAGCTGGCCGGCTCTGTTGTGTTTGGTCAACCGCTTAGAGATGTCCCGCCCCCCGTATCACGTACAATGTGTTGGAGCGCTAGCCAATAGAAGCGCGAGTGTTAAATAGTGATGTCTGGAGGGGAACTTTGGGATTTTATCCTTTGCAGGCCATTTACATGCAGAAAAAACCTTTATAACAGACTACTGAAAAACCCAACAACGCATCTATATAACGTGCAAATATAGAAAAACTATGGGGTTCATATTTCTTATGAACAAGACTAACTCTTACAAGATTAACTTATAATAGTTCATATGATATAGACCTATTTAAGCTTCAGACCACATGGTTGTTCTCTTTAAAACAATGCCTGTTGTTAGTAATGGAGGCAGCAGGTTTACCTTTCTCTCTGGTGACTTTGTAGCAAACACAGGCATGTGACAGGCAAGCAGCGGACATGAAAACGGGGCCATCGTCTTCCCCTCGTCCTCTCCACACAACCAGCCTGGTGAATTCTCTGCTCCTGAAATAGAAGAAAGAGAGAGTTCTGTTTACATTTGGAGCTAACATTGTTGTAATATACCAACTAGTTGTGTTGCCGAGCTTATTGACATTACACTTCTGACCCTCACAGTGAGCCAAGGAGTAAGCTCTGAAATAATTATACAGACATTTTGCCACCCCAGGTGTGCGTTATGAATGGTGTTATTAGCATGTGGAAGTTTTAATCAGCCAGAGGCTTATTCCCTGTTGTAGAAGGCGAGGCCAGGTAGTGCCAACACAGAGCCTCAACAGTGATTAAAGCTGCACTTAATCAACACTGAGAGTCACTCCCAGCAGGAAAAATGCAACCGCTGGATTTGAGTAATAATAATGGATTTGCCTGGCGAATGCAGCATCATAGCTCAGAGCCTTACAAACAGGTGCACCTCTGACAAGGCGCTTGGCAAATATGCCAAAGTACTCCCTATTATGTAATTGTGTAATCGTAAATTTCAATTTACAGAAACTAAATTGGGCATGAAATTTAACAGGTTGCTAAAATGTGCTTCCTGGTTTGTTACCATACGTTACCCTGGAATAAGCTACACGTTATGTCTGTCGTCCGCCTCCAAGGCAGCGCCACAGATGCATTAGGCTCATTTGCGGTATAGTAAAAGTGGAGTTTGTTTGATTTAGAGTATTTTTTGTTCATTCATTCTGTAGAAAAAAAGGTACGAGGAGCACTGAAGGGCCAAATAGATGATCTTTAACTGACAGAAAGAACCATGGCTGTAACATTGGTTTTATTTCTCTTTTGGCATCACAGATGCATCACTTGCAGTGGTGGGAAGTCACTCAGTACTGAAGTACTGAGTACAACAGAGTATTGTAACACTTGTCTGGCCAAGCACCAATGTTAATATTGATATAACTGACATTACCTTTCTTTACATATCGTACTAAGTCAACTAAACAAAAATAGAGGCTTTTATATTTTAAAATTACTTCCTTTCTTCTTTAACATTGCCACTGATATTAGTCAAATACTGTATTACAGATGTGTCATCAGTGTTGACAGTTAGCAGACGGGATCACAGCGTTGCTAAATCCTTGTCACAATCAAAGCTTGAGTACTTCTGAATAAATGACTTAAAGGTCGGGTAGGTAATTCACTTCAGAAACACTTTTTGTTATATTCCATGGAATACTCTTAACATCCCGATAGCAATGAATATATTAAATGCTTTGACAATAAATACATAAAAAAAATATCATCTGTGGAAGCCGTAGTACTGTAAAAAGCACAACCAATCATTTTTGCCGGCCCGGCTAAAGTAACTGGATGGCCTACCTGCCTGTCAGCACAAACTTATATCGTGCCCTCATTGGTCATGTGCGCGTTCGTGTGTGTTGGAGGAGGGGCTCTATAAGGAAGTGTGAAGGAAGGGGCAGATTTTTTTCGGCTGCGTACTTCCAAATTCTAGCGCACTCGAGCAGGTTTCTCCATTCTTACCTACCCTACCTTTAACATGAAAACATTTAAGCAAAAAGATACAGGAAAGATCAAGGACAGGAATGAACAGCATTGGGTGATTGTGTTGGGTCTTATATAAAAGAAACATTCTTCAATTACTTTTTTCAAATATTTCTTTTGAGAACATCTCCAATGTTTTCTGAATAGTGGATATCTAAAGATATATCTGCAAATGATACAGACAAGTATCAACATGGCTGCACAACTCCAAGGGCAACATGAATGAAACCTATAATGTGTAAATATCATATTGTAAATGTCATAATATACAGTGTTCCTGTCATTGGGGCCAACCTCTGCACGTTTGAAAATACTGACAATAGAGAGAAAATAAAAATTGTTCATTGTATGTTCATTTTATATGGAGAAGGATCAGGGCCACGTAAACATTTTTAGAAGAATTCCTTAATCTCAGAAAAATGTGCACATCATGCCCCAACCCTCTTTTGTAATTGTATCTTTAAACAATAATTATTTATGATTTACTGACTCTAACAAAGACGTTTACACATGAGTGACTGAACAGTCTTTCTGAACAAGGCTACTGTAAAGAATGGAGTGGTTATATGGTTTTAAATCATGCAGTCATTTATATTAACAGTCATGTAGAGTTGTTGAGCGTTCTTTAATCATTTGCATGTTGTCTCTATCCCTCAGCAGGCCACGACACAGCCAGGTGCAAGGTCACTTATTAAAATACTTTAATTGAGAGCAGATTGCTTCACATTGGCAATGGTTCCCACTGTTCATTGGTACCCAAGAGTAATCATCCACCTTTCTTTGCTAATTATTAGATAAGCATAAATAATTTGGGTAGGCTGGCTTCTCTTACTGAATTTGTCAGTCTTTTAAAAATAAGTTTCCAATTTAAAAGAGAGGTGGATACACACAGATAGATAGAAAGACACACTGGGATTCACACTAAAGGACAGGTCGAGAAAGTTGAATTGAGACAAATTAGCCTTAACCTTCAGACTTTGCCATGTGGTAATGATGATGAATAACGGTGAACAAATGAGGACCCGAAGGCCACTTACCTCAACACACACACACACAAAACTAAACTTCATTTCACAAATAATATCATCAGTTGAACGTGTACAGTGTTTCCCACAGATCTGAAATATACTTGGGGGGGTGGTGGTAGCAGGGGTGGGGGTTGAGGTGACGTGCCTTTGTGACGTGCAACAACATTAACATTAACCTTTCTGTTGGTCGCTTGTTAGCAGACCCTTCACGCCATGGCAGAGCGACCAGGTACAGGCAGGGCCCGTAGTGATAGCCCTATAGTTTAAATCTACTACCCACAAATAAACATATGGACATGGGTTACTATTTTAAGTGGGTGGACCTCAAATCCTCTAGGGGGGTCCGGAGGCATGCTCCCCGGGTAAGATATTTTTTTTAATTTTGGAGTTAAATGCATCAATCTGGTGCATTTTAAGGGGAACATAAAGAGACTAGATCTATGGGAACATCTATATGAAACAGAACTGTATACATTTCAATTATCATACAATCATGGCCATAACCAATAACATACCATTTCCAATATGAAAAAACACTGAAACTTGTTTATTTATTTATTTTTGGTTCATTTATAGTTGTGAGTGTGTCTGTGCTCCTGAACCAGCCTCACCTGTCTCCCTCCTCTCCCCCTGCTCCTCTTTGAGGCAGCAGCAAAGACTAGTTTTAGCTCTCAACAAGTTTTAAAAGTGTATCTTACCTTTTTTCACCTAGTTAACTTTATTTTATTTTATTCATGCATATTTTACTAATCACTCCCCCCTCAAATGGAAATATGTGTTTACATAAATGGTGACCAAACCGTTTGAGACCCACTGAGAACTTAGACTAAGTTAACTATCTAAACACTCAGAGTCCTTTACCTCACCTGAGCTGAGGTTATCCCGAGCTTGAATGACACACAGAGACCAATCGAGGGCTTTGATTTATGATCTGTGTGACAGTGGCCATGTCGGCAGGCCACATCATGTAGACAGCCAGTCACCCTGTGTGAGGCAGGCCACTTAACAGGCCAGGCCATCGGGAAACCCCCGGGTCCTCCCGATGGCCAGTCCGGGACTGGGTACAGGAGGCGTAGAGCGAGGGATCATTGTCCACAAGTAAATCAATCGCAGATGGCGTCGTGGTCGTGGATGAATACAAAAAAAAAACTAAATGGGTCGCGAAATATACTTGGGCGGCCGTTAATATACCTGGGCGGCCCGCCCAAGTAAAGTCTATGTGTGGGAAACCCTGGTGTATAGGAAAATACATCACCCAAGAGTTGTTGCTATTTTGCATTCCTGTTGAAAATGACCTTTTCCATGCCTTGATATTTATTATGTCAAATTTGCATTCACTACACATACAACACTACCTGAATATATTCTTTAGTTTTGATATTAACTGTAGGAAATGCCTGAGAAAATGTATTCCATATGTTTTGTTCCGTCTGTTTATTCTGTGTTTTCTCTTGTATGTCACACTACATTAACGTCATTATTGCATTTATCATCCATAGCATTAACGGACTGAAAAACAAACAAGAAAAACATGCATGTCAGCCTCCTCGTGGTTATTACAAGAAGGGGCCTAGGCATGGGGGTTACTGTGGCTCCCAATATACACCAATTAGCATCAAATTGCAGAAGTGTGCCGACACACAGACTGCAAACATCAGCAACGTCGTTAATGCAAGCAGTCCGAAATAATAACAATCAAAAGCGTTAGATATCAGCAAACTGATGTGCATACGTTGTATAGATAATATCTTCAGCAGATTAAAGATAAATGTGATATGAGCTTCATGACAGAAGAGCTACAGAAAATGAATTATTGAACATGTTGGAAAATAATTGAGCCTTAGCAAGCCACATGAGATTCAATCAAATCAAAACAACAGGCCATCCTGATAATGTTTTCTCCCCAATCTCATACAAAAACATGGTCAGGAAAACAGTTAAAATATTAAAAATTCACACAAAGAGATTCAAACCCATTTGGCTCAGAGGTTCTTAAAGTAGCTTCATACTGGAGTCAAAAGCTACATCGTCCCTGATTTCGAGTTGGGAAGTCAGGGAATGTGCTCATAAGCAAAGAAGACTTGTTTTATTATATTGGTACTAGAACTAGATGATAGTCGTTTCTATGAATTTTGCTATTGGGCAACACATTTTTCCGATTATTCCGACCTCACACGAAAGCAGCACAAATGCAGCCCAGAATATGGATGCGCTCCAAAATTGTATGTGTTCTTTTTAGGCCATGTTACATACAGTATGTATGCCAAGTTTCATGAAAATCAGGCAAGTAGTTATTCTGAAATGCTGCTGAGACACAGACAAACAATCTGAGCCGAGAACATAACCTCCTTGGCGGAGGTTGAAATCAATACTGCATTAAACTGGTGATAAACTTACAAAATGATTTGGCAAATCGTAGGCATGAGGCAAGCACCACATTACTTAACATTTATATTAGTTTTCATGCGCATCTATTGG